TTTTTTCTGTAAAAGTGCATCTCTTTTAGTCGAATAAATTATGTTATATATGATAAATATAACATCATTATTTTTTATTTCACTCTATTTTTATTTTATTTTTTATTTAAAAAGTATATAATAAAATAAAATAAACAAAGTATGAAAATTGGAGGTCTAAGTTCACATTTTTGTTAAAAAAGAATGACACGTTGTCTTGACTAACTCTTACTTCAGCTCACATAAGAGTTTGTGAATGATTAGATATTTTACAATTTGAATTAAAAGATCTTGTTTTGGAATGATGTACTCAATACAAATAAATTAATGATCACTTGTAATTTCTTAGAATTATGTAAAGATATAAAATTATACAATATTAGATTAATAAGAGATGATTACATATTTTCTTAATGTGTATGTAAATTCCATCAATATAAAGTATATGTTTCAAATGTGGTATGGTGCTACTAATTAAATATTTTTATGAAAACATATGAACATGTATATGTTAAAATAAACAATGACAAATTTAAATTGACACATCAAATCTAAAAATTTATCTATGTATATGCATATAGATGCCAAATTAAAAACTATAATAATATTTGTTTCTTATGTTACATATAAATATCATATTAGCTAGTTATTATTTTTCTCTATTTTACCTTGAAATATACCCAATATAACTGAAAACATAATATTGTGTTTGATGTTCCAATAAAAATAATAATTAAATAAATAGTTGACTTGAAATTTTATTTTAGTGATTAATTAATAAAGATTGATAATTTATTATTATAAAAAAAATATTATAAAAGGAAAGGAACTCATACTCACAAATTGTAAGTGAGACAAATAATAAGTGAGATATTGAGATGAGAATTCATAATAAATAATTATGTATAATATTAAACATTATTTGTAACAAATAATTGATTATAAAAAAAATATATAATTGGGATTTGTATAATAATTGATTATGACTAAAATAAGTATTTACTTGTAACACATATTTATGTTATTGTTTGAATGGTAAATAATACATAAAAATTAACAAAATTTATTTCATGGTAATAGATGTAGGTAAAGCATGTATTTAGTTAAGAAAAATTGGAGTGCAAATTCCAATACATTTAAAATCTAAATTAATTGTTTATATGATAAATATTTTTTGTTGATAAATCATGCATAGAAATTGATAAAAGTTATTACAATGTATTAAATGTAGTTTTTGGGGGGAAATTTTGAGCTGCTTTGCTTTAATATATATATAGATATTGAAGCATTGAAGCATGCTCTTCTGCTGATATCTTGTAAGAAATGTTTTTCATCTTTTTCAGGTTAAATAAATTGGACTTGAAAAGAGGATATTTTGAAAATTGGAGTGCACTGATTTTATACCCTTAACATAGATATAGGTGTAACACTTATCATTATTATTTTTTTTTTTTTTCCTTTGATGAATGCATAGTTAATGCATTTCCCTTAACTGTGTCTCATGAATCATCACTTGTTATTTCAGTTTTATGGTCTTTACCAGTGATTAAAATAGCGCCATAGCGCGAGGCGGGCCCTTGATGCCTTAGACCCTCGACGCGAGTCGGGCTTCTGAAAGGCGGCGCCATGGCGTCTCCTCTGATGTAGCGTAGCGTCGAGCAAGGCGACGCCTTATAAAGGTGAGGCGAGACTGGGCAATTTAGGTATTTTTATACCTAGGGTTTCATTTACTGGCACGGGAGTAATAGACTAAAATTACTACCCTAATACAAAATTACCTGGTTTATTCCACCGGGGATGGTAACATTGACGGCGAGAGGTACATGTTCCGATTTTTCCTTTTCTCTTCTTTTTCTTTTTCCCTTCTTGCTTCAACCATTCTTCACCGGCGTGGCGATGGTACCTTTTGTGTAAGTAGTTTGCTCCGGCTAAACATCTGTCGCCGGCGACCGGCGGTGCTGACAACTGTCGGCCAGGATGAAAATCAACCGGGCTGGGCTTAACATGTTTTTGTTTTTTTTTTTGTTTTTTTTGTTTGTTTTATCTATGAATGTGGGGGCATCAACTTGTTTTTTAATGCCCATTAGACAGTACACATTATACTGATGAATAAAAAAGATTTCGGGGTTGAATTTCACCCTGCACAAGGTTGACTATTTATGAAGCATTGTTCATGGATAACAATTTATGGTACTCTCGAGATACTCTTGAGATGATTCCCTTCAAAATTTATTACTACTACTACTACTATTACTTAGTAATGATGATGCGTCATATTGAATTGGGGCTCGACAGTACGACATTTAACTGACGCTTAATTTTCACTCGATGCTCGACTAAATTTGGGCCGACTGTGCATGCACAGCCGGAAGGCCAACTAGTATTAGATATAAAACAACATATTTAATGATAACTAGTATCAATAGAAGAAATTATATTAGGTAAAATAACACTAAATAATAACTCACACTAGTTCTAATCTATTACTATATAATAAGACAAAGAAACTAGGTGATATAATAATAAAAAAAAAACGCTTTAAAAATTTGACAACTTAGTAATAATGAAAAAATGCATCACAACAATGCAATAACAACTCACACTAGTTATAAACTTATAATATAAATAAACAAGTACACTTGAGCATTAAACAAGAAACCAAAAAAAAGAAATGGTTAACATATAAATAACCTAATGTGCTTAGGTACCAGTGGCTCCAGCTGTTGTTTAGCGTAAATATTTGCTTCTTCAGCCAATTTTAAGTCTTCAGGATCAACTGGCCCATAAGCCGGACGAGCCGGACTTTGGGTATCAACAATGATCTCCTTAAGCGCGACACAACTCTCCAACAAGTAGTTGACTAATTCAACATCACTCGGACAACCATAATAACCTAAAAACCGAAAAACATTCAAGTGCTGGTGCAGTGGAAACTGCTTAAATCCCTTCTGAATTTCTCTATTTGACCTTTCAGCTTCAGACCATTGTTGCTGCAAATAAAAGTGAAAATAAAATAAAGGTCATACATTAATTTAACGTGTAAAATTTATGACAAAAAACTACAAGCCTATAGCCATTCAATGATGAGCAGTTTAAACAAGATTGTAGCGATAATATTTTCAAACATGTTTGGGATAGACCAACCTTTAACTCAAATTCTTGCAAGTTGGGAGATGCATTGATAAAGTGAGCTACGTCTAGAAGACTCCAGTCCACTCCATATAAAAGTTTCACGACGACCAACTTCCTAAGTTTAGGCATCATAGGGAAATTGAGCATCTTTAGAACCTCCTGCAATAACATTAAATAAAGATATCAACTGGTAAGTTGCATATACAGGCTCACTGGGCCTTCCTTTAAATTACCTTACTTTTTGAAAAATTATTCAACTTTAAATATTTTTATGGATATCTTTCGATAGCTTTCAATAGTCTCATTTCAGGTTCTAAACAAAAAGATTACATGACGTGCCAATAGATAGTTCAGTCGGAAACTATAGAAAGATTATCTCAAGTGCTTGTTTCAGTGCACTTTTGGTAAAGTCCATATCTTAAATGGACTTTATGGAAAATAGACGTCTCCAGAAGTCCTCATCCTTTAATTCGATAGAATGGATTTTTGGAGAAACAGCTTATCCATAAGTCCATTCTTAAAATTAGCGCCAATCATGAATA